TTGGTTTAATTTTTATACACTTTTACTCATTTCTTTCAAAGAAAAAATAAAGGAAATGGACTGTCAGGAGTTTTAAATGTTCTCTTCCCTCTCCCCTCCCCCATGTCTCTTATTCTCCCCCTTTCCAAGACCTTCTCCTCCCTCTCCAGCTCCTTTTGATTAATAGATCCATGTGGCTAACGGCCTGACATATGGTGTGCGAAGCAGCTTGAGATAGTACCTTAGGCATCCCCTACGGCCATTAACATATTAGGGGCTTATGTGCAGTCAGACAGTCAGACCTCATCCAGAGCCAGCATTTGCAGAAAGGCTACACCCCAGAGCTGTTTGATAGAGAGTTTCAATAATGCACCGCTCTTCCATTTTAAGGGAGTTGCTTCTGGTGCTGAAACACTGAGACAGAATTGAATAAAGTTTAGAAATAAGACTCAGTTACATTCAAACAACAGAAAAAAAAATGTGCTTACATCTGTTTGTATATGGATATGCACGTGGATGCACAGCTTCAAGCTCACAAACACTCACCAGCTCCGGAGTATTATCAGTAAACAGGCAACATCAGCTGCCTGGATTTATTTTGTTTAAAGACTTATTTTATATAAAGTCTTCTTTATACCCAGAACACCAACAATACAGTTACTGACAGAAATGATTCAAAAGCAAAAACAAAACACAGCATGTTTAAGAAAGCTACTGCTCTGAATCTTGTAGCTTAATTTTTCCCTAGTAGAAGAAATCAAGTGCACTTTTACATCTGTGGCCTTAAAAAAAGAAGAAGACTGAAGAAGAAAATAATTAAAGTTTAACTTTAAAGGATGTGATCATATTTTTAAAACATTTGCAGTTACCCTGGAGGGGTAACCAATCTGACTCTACAAAATGTAAAAGTTAACTAAAAAGGTCTTGACAACTCTGAAAGGTGGGGAAAGCCTCTAGGATGTGTGTGTGTGTGTGTGTGTGTGTGTGTGGTGTATTACATATAAATTTTGGACATGAGAGATGATGTTCAAAATCAAAGCGTACATCTCACTTGAAGCTTATTTAATTCACTTTAACCTGGCAACTGAAGCTTAAAATTCACTTTGCCCCACATTCTTCTTTTTCCAGCCTCCTGCTGATAAGCCACTGTACCCCTTTTGAACTGTACTCTGGCTGTTTGCTTGGCAAATAAATGCTGTTCCGCCCTATTAAACCTTTTAGGTAGTTTCATCTTCAGATTTCTCAAATACAGAGCTAATAAGAAGTTGCTTTGATGCTGTTTTACTTTCAAACTATAGCCCTGAGGCGTTAAAACGAGCAAAAGGTAACTGGAAAAGTAAATTGCCACAAGCAAGGCACACCCTCCCTTTCAAAACCATCCTAACCCTCCTCAGTGCATTGGGTGGCAGGGAAAATCGTTCTGTTCCTGTGTGGATCTAGGTTTCCTTTGGCAGCCCCTGGGGTCCTGAAGTGGTGCCACTTTACCAAGAGTGTGAGGAAAGCAGAACCACTTTTAAGTTTTAAAACCTTGGAGTCCCTTGGAGTGCAGGGAAGACAGAGGTAGAGACCGAAAATCTTTCCAAAAGTTGTTTCTAGGCAAAACATAAAAATAAATTAAAAAATAAATAAAATAAAATCAGGTGGAAAGTAAAGATTAGGAATCTAGAAACCCCGACTTGTTTAACCAACCAATAATAACCAAAACTTTTGCATTAGACGTGTCAGCAATGCTTCAGAGTCCGTTTACAGGAAAAACTATTTTCAAATCTCGGATTCAGATTACATTTTGGAGAAGAGAATCCGGGAGCACTCACGCTTGGATTATATTTGTTCCCCGACGCCCCAAATAGGCGCGCGACCTTAGTTTAATGTAAGCAAATAAAACAATTGAAAGATATCTGCTTTATTTAAAACTGGGACGAAATCGCCTGTCGCTCAAACACTGCCTGTCACAGTCCTCATTTAGGTATGTTTTAGGAAGAAATGCAAGCCTCCGGGACATACCTCAGCACAGCGTCAAATGCACACTACCTGCTCTTTTAAATGCTTGCATTTCCATTGCTAACCCATAAAACACGTTTTTAACGTTGCGCAAAGCACAGGACACTTGAGCTCCGATGCCAGCCTCAGAGCCCCTGGTCGAATCCAGCTTCTCTTTCTTTCTCTTTCTTTCATCACGATTTGGTAAAGTCGCATAAGTGATCAAAATTAACATAAATCATTATTAGTTATTAGGATTTGCTCTAAATTACACTGTGAATCTCGCACCAGCCCCATCTGCCGCCCCTGCTCTCGCAGCAATAGATTGCAGATAAAATAAATGTCCTTACCCCATTAGAAGGTTCCTGTCTCTGTAGCCAAAAGCCAAACAAAAGCAATAAATACCGGGCTTTTCCTCTCCACTATTCAGCTGTGACTCTTTTCATCAGCTCTTCCTCTAGAAAAGCTCAATAGCTGCCTGAAAATATTGCATTTTATATCACCAAAGGGCGATTAATATTGCATTAACTGTATTTAACATTTTTTAAGCGCGAGTAATCTACAATGAGTTAGTTTCTGTTAGTAAGTACAGGGGGTATCAAAACTACTGCAAACCACTTAAGATATCTAATGAACGTATTATTTGTCTCACACGTTGTATTTTTTTTTTTAAATAATGTTAGAGTGTACCGCGCGACGTTTGAATTGGAAGAAGTGGGAGAAGCCAAGCTAATGGTCTGCTTAAAGTATTCTGACACTGTCTGGAGACAGCCAGGTCTCTGCCTTCATTAAATGTTTATTGTCAACACTTGGCGGGGGCGGAGAGTGGGAGAAAGAGACTGGCGTAAGTGAATTTTCCACGGCTGGAAATTGTCAACACTTTGTTTTATTCTGATCCACGTCTACAAAAGTTTGTATACATTCTGCTGCACTGAGGCCAGGCGTTAGAGTTATCAAACAAACTTTTGTTTGTAATTCGTTTTACTTCCTCTGTGCAAGAAGTCTCTTCCCCCTCCATCCCTCTTTTGGCCAAGTCTCCTTCCAGGCTCTCGGTTAACCCCCCCCCCCCGTTTCCCTTCACCTGTTCCTATCCGCTTCCTCTTCTAAAATCGGATAGAAGTGACCTGCCGCGAGTGCCGGTGGAAAAGCGAGCGATTTTCCGCCCCACCCTAGTGTTAGCGGAGGAAAGACACGGGTCTCCACACTTTTGCTGGCCGTCTTCTCTCAGACCCGAGATTTTCAACCTTCGCTTTGAGATTTAAAATCCCACTAAATTCCCTGGACGAAAACCTAGCAGCCAGCCAACCAGCCAGCCATCCCTTCGCCCCCGATCTAAATCCTTTCCTGATAAATTCAAATCTGTAGCTGGGCTTTGTTGTTGTTGAATCTTAGCAACAAAACAAAACCAAGATTGTAATTCCTCTCAAATCTAAAACGGGTAAACCAGTTTGGAAAGTTTTACTGCGTTTAAGGTGACTGTTGATTTAGGCAACCTGGGGATGTGGGAACTATTTTTAAACTCTGTGATATTTCGGTCTGTTCCCTTTTCTCTCAGAAGGTCCTCAGAGGCACTTAGGAGTGGGAGGAGACCTCCGGCAGCGCCTAATTTTGAGCTGGGGAACTGCAACGCTCTCTCCTAAGGGACTTGGATCGCTCAACGCGCATGTGCAGACTGGGCGCGCTCCCCGCGCTCTGGGTGCGCGCCAAGCCCGTCGCAGCTCGCGGTGGTCGGCACCCGCGGACTACCCCTGCGCACGCGCGCGGGACGGCTCGGGCCATTCGCCCACTTGGGTACTTCTGGACCTGGCCCAATCCTGATCAGGGCCAACAGGCCTGTGGCTATCCAGCCCTCTGAGCTAAGAAGCGACCTCAGGCAACTAGAAGCCATCGGGTTGCGAATTTCCCGACAGGCGGCAGAGGGGTGCAAACAGGGCACGCCACAGTGGCTTAGCCGCAGACCCAAGAGCCGCGCACACGGTGGCGCTGGGACCCACGGGTGGGTAGGTGTTTCGGTGGGAGAGCGAGAACCTTGCATGGGTGGTCCTCTCCTGGCTGCAAATCCGACCCAATCAGCTCTGCCAACCCAACCACTCCGAAGCCCAAAAGTTATGTGGGGGAGACCAGTTAGTTGCAGACAGCAGCTACTGAGGACTCAGCAGCCCAGCGAAGTCGCCTGCTAAATAACTCGGGAGGAGCGCTCGGCAGTCAACGCCCGGACCAGTGCCCCGCCCTACGGATCCACCAGTTTTCAGCGAGGGAATCTGGGAGGGCTGTCTGTCTCCCATCAAGCTGACTTGACAACAATTACGAAAGTTTTTAATTAGCTTCTTGTTATCATTCATTTTATTAATTTCCAGAACTCTCAGGCCATGAATTATTCAGAGGGCAAGCCAACCCTAGTGAGGCGGCCGCGCGTCCCCACCGCACGTGCCCGGCTGGACTCTGGTCGCGCGGCTCGCCAGCTGCCCTGTGAGTCAGCCCCGCACTTGAAGCAGTAGTGGCGTGAAGGTTTGATCAAATATTAAATAACGTAATTATTGCGACAAGGCTTATCTCGCAGGTGGAAAAGAGGTCCCCGTGAGAATTAGATTTCGGCTGCTATTTAAAAAAAAAAAATCAATTAAGCTTGTGGTCTCCTTTGAAACAGCCGGCAAGGATTGTGTGGTTCTCACGGTGGGGCTGAGACTGCGGCTGCAATAACACCAATGACAGAACCTTGTCAATAACAATCGTAATCATCATCTTTATTATCCCTCTGGCCACCAAAGTCCTTAGAATGGGATGAAGAACGCTGGTTTTAGGCAGAATCAGAAAGTCCAATTGCAACTTTAGGGATACTGAAAGCCCCTCAAATCTGAAAGATGTTTCACGCAGGTGAGACCAAGAGAGGCCCTGTCGGTGCAGCCAGGGCCAGGGCTGAAGGACTGACAAATGAGTCTTCCCAGCTTAGAGTGCTCTGTCCTCTCCCGGTGAGTCCCCATGTAGGACCTGGACCCAAGTAGTCTTAATATCACAAGAAAGCAAAAATCGATACCATCACGGCAGTGGGTGCCTACGGTTTATTTATGAGTATAATCGAAATTGAGAGCAATTTCAGAACACGCATTAAACAAATATCTATTCAGAAGTTAGTGGATGGATCTTGAGGACATCATTTGTTAGACCGACAGAAGAAGCAGGACCCCGTGCTTGGACTGGGGGAAAAGACACAATTTAAGATGCATGGATTGCATTAATGAGACAGATGGAATTAATGCTCCTGTTTCGTGTTTCTTTTGCCTTTCCTACTCTGCCGCCTGGATTTCCGGAGAAACTGAAACAAACGGAACTCAGTTCTCCTACTCTCTTAAACTTATTTTGAAATTATTCTTTAAAAGAACTCAGCATCAAACATTTTATTTCCACCCACTGACAGGTGTGGAAACTACTTAAGGAGAAGTTCCTTTCTACCAGAACCAGAGAACTTTGAAAGGCCAAATTATCTCTGAATGGCAAGCCTTTGCATTCTCATTAGGAGGATTTTTTGTTTGTTTGCTTCTTCATTGGTTAACTGTTAAAGAATAGTCTTAGTATTTCTTCCAGTGGTACACAGGTTCATTCAACAGAAAACGAAACATATATATATATATATTTTTTTTTTTTGCACAGTTTCCTACTGAATAAAATAGGAAACTCTGCAAAGCATGTTTTCATGATGTTTTATTAACATAATAGTCTTCTTTTTACTTTGTAAGGATTTTACTTTATACAAAACAAATGCTTAAATTCTTAATGCATACATTACCAATTATCATTTAATACAAATGTATTTGCCTGCAACATTTTCATTTGGGCAGATTAAAAAAAAAACCAAAAACTTGTAAATCTTTTGTTTGTTCATTCCTGGCTCTCCAACAATGAAATCTGGTCATACTTTTCTATAAAATAATGTGATTTTCTTTACAAATGCATTTTATTAGAAACTTTGATGATATTCACGTCAATAACAACAGAAACAAATGAATCTTGATGGAAGAGATCTATTTTTAAAAATATCTCTAGTGCTTTCTTTTAAACATTAACAATTGTTTAAAATTACAGTTTTTAAAATGTACTATTCTGTTTTGAACATCACGTGTTTTGTTTCACAGATTTGCCGGTGAAATTAAAAGATTTAGCTAAAATAGAATGACTTCAGAAGATATAATCCCAGATATTAAGAAGCTTTGTACATTTGGCATCTGATCTTGTCCCAGATCACCAAGAAATAGATATATTTCTGGTCACTCTGGAGCAGTAGGTGGCACACTAAATTTTCCCAATGAACAGAAGCATTAAAAGGGTATTTGGACAGATCAGTGAATGGTTTTTAAATTTATTAACCTCCAAAGAAAAGTCACTCGGTTACAACAATTTTAGAAGTGTTTTTTAGGCAAGAACAACAAATACAAACTCCAAATTCGGCTGTTCCTGAGCCTCAATTTAAATGTTTTTGAGTGCCTGGTCATTTATTACCTTCCACCGCTCTGATAGAGTAATGTAGTTTAAAAGTTTCTTCAGTTCAAAGAAAAAGTTTGATAAACACAGGCAATTAATATAGAATTCATTTTATTCAGAGCACCACTTTTCACATGAATTATCTGAAAGTGAATTCTCATTCCGGGGCAGGGTGGGAGGGAGAAAAAAAAGGGGGGGGAAAGAAAGAAAAATGCAAACATCATTCTCACCCTTTCTCTTCTTTTGACCTCCCTTTCGATATCCTCCCCTTCACCCCACTTTTATTTCTTTATTTATTGTTGGTTGAATTTTTTTGGTTGAATTATTTGTTGAACGACTGCCAGGACTTGGCTCAATATAAACACAAAAATGCACCCAAATCATAAAACTGCTCTTCTTTTAGTTATGTTTTATTTGTAAGTGTACTAGGACACATCCCCCTGTTGTATTTTGGCGCACAAAAATGGTTCTGATAGAAGTGGGGGAAGAGGCAGGTAGGAGGAGAGCAATGACATAACCAAGGAGAAAGCTCAGCAGTCATACATGGACAGTTAGATCAATCCGTGAGACATTTCAGGATTAACACTGGCAGTTTGTAACCACTGTGTGTGTGTGTGTGTGTGTGTGTGTGTGTGTGTGTGTATTAAATAAAATATTTACAATAATCTTCCTTTTTTCCTTTTCCTCTAAATACAAGAATATGACAAGAATGTTGTGTTTTCAGTGGAAACAGGCAGTAGACTGTGAAATCACACTATCCACAAAACGGTCTACCAGAAAGCTAGCCCAGTTTAGTGCTCAGTTTCAAATGCATAGAATGTTTGCGCTGCAAACAATGATATACAACGTAATTAAATAAATAATGCCTAACCAGAGTGAGACCTAATTGTGTTTCTTTCTGCACCTTTCAGATCATGCATGATTTCAGTATTGTTAAATGGCAGGGGTTTTTTCTTCCTTTTCTCATTTGTTCTGTAATTTTTAGTTATGGTTTAAGGATGGTAATAAACCATCTCCACATGAGATCCAAAGAGTATTTTGTACACAAAGGCATTTTACCTAACCACCTTTAACTGTCTCATTTTTCCCCCAATCCATCAGCAGCTTGGAAGGTACCTTGATTATTACTATGAAATACTATACATGATTTTCTATTTGAGCAACTGATAGTGCAAATTAAAGTTCTTGCTATCCAACATTTATCCCCAGTAATAAATGACTCTTGGTTAATAGTAACAAAAAGGAAACAGTTGTTCTGCTTTCCCCCAGGGGAACATGCAGACTTTTTGGAAACAAATGAGTTGGGGGAAGACCTTTAAATCTGTTTTCCTCTCTTCTGGGATTTAGGTGAATTTCTCACAGCCAAGTCCTGCCCCAACTGAAAGCAGAAACTTCTCAACATTTCAACGACTTCAGGTTCTCCAAGAGAGGAAGAAAGGGGACCTAGAAGAGCAAGATGAGCCTTATTCAGTGACGAAAATGGAAAATGAAAGTATCTTTCCTAATATTTTCCACCCCCGCAGTCTATTTAAATAAATAGGAGGGGGACCTCCCCCCCCCCAAAAAAAGCAGATAGTTTGAAATAAAGCACACTCTGAAAAATAAAAGGGCAAGCTAAAGTATCCTAAGTGTGTGTGTTGGGGGAGCTTATTTTGAAATAGTCTGTTTTCTAGATTTTAGGAACAAAAATTAAAAGAGAAAAATCTTGCTATAATTGTTTTACTTTACTAGAATAAAATATTTACTTCAGAGACCCTAAATTCTGCCTTTTAGACAGCTCAAAGACAGTAATTCTCACTTTCTAAGACTTTCACCAGATTGGGATAGACCACACGAATGTAGCCACTGTGTGGAAACTTGGATTCCACCTAAACAGCCTCTGGACCTCAACCTTCTTTGAGCTGTGCTCCCACTCTCTTCCCTGGAGTGCAGCCTTTGGAGTCTCCTTCGAACAGGGAAAATAAAGAGGATATGGACAGGCTGGAGGTGAGGCTTAAAGGGAAAAATTAAACACGCAGACAGAACAACTAGCTTCCCTACCCCAAATTTCACCTTTCCTTTCTTTTGGTTTTCTTTTTTGACTCAGTTCACGTGTGTAGGGTTGGGGCGGTGGTAATATTGGTAGTGCTCTTTTTTCTCTTCCTTGGGGGTAAATGAAGCTGCAGATTATGGCTCTCGGAGTTAAATTTTTAAAGCATGTTCTTTGCTTTTGTTTTTGTTTTCTTTTATTTGTCTAATTTTTGGTGGTTGGTAGGGTTTTTTTTTTAGTTTTTTTTTTCTTTTTTGTACATAGTTCCTTGGTCCCCAGGAGATTTTGATAAGTGTCTCTGGTCAAAAACAGTCCATTTCCCAACCCTTCCCGTGTCGCCCCCCCATCCCCCAGAACCATCCTGCTTCTTAAAACTCCCCTGCTCCAGCCTCACTTTTTTTTTTGAACCCCTATTCCCTTGCTCATCTAAATGCTCCCTCCTCCCCTGTTGTCTTCTTTCTCTACACCCAGCACTCTTGTTTTCTAGGCTGGGGGAAGGTAAGGGCAGGGAGAGTAGAGTGGGGCCCAGGAAAGAGCAGGGAGGGACTCCCCAATTGCAAGCAGGATAACGGACACTTCAAAAGCCATGGGAAGCAGGTCAGAGGAAAGCCCCCTGAAACGCCCCCTCAGCTTCTCGTTCTGTCCCACCCGGCACCACCCAACCCCCTCAGTAAGTGGCGGAGAATTTCATCCGCTTCTGCTTCTGTCTCTGGTTGCAAAACCACACCCGCACCACGTTCTTTTTGAGGTCCAGTTTCTCAGCGATGGCTGCAATCTTCTCCGACGAGGGCCGGGGTTGTACAGCGAAGTAGGCCTCGAGGGAGCGCTTCTCTGGCGCGGCGATGGAAGTCCGCTTGCGCTTCTTCTCCCCGCCGTTGAAGAGCTCAGGCTTGTTCATTTTCTCCCGCTGGGCACCCTCGGCTTCCTCTAGCCAAGCCTGAAGGATGGGCTTGAGCGCAATCATGTTGTTGTGCGAGAGCGTGAGCGACTCGAACCTGCAGATGGTGCTCTGGCTGAGCGATCCCACGCCCGGGATCTTGAGGTTGGCCAGCGCCGAGCCCACGTCGGCCTGCGTCACGCCCAGCTTGATGCGCCTCTGCTTGAAGCGTTCAGCAAACGCTTCGAGCTCGCGCGGGTCCGTGTCCGAGTCGCAGATCGACGCCAGGCCCGCCGCGCCCACCAC